CTCCTCCTCCTGCTCCTCCTCCTCCTCCTCCTCCTCGTCGCCTCCTGCTCCTGCTCCTCCTCCCCCCGGCGCTGCCCCAGAGGAGTCGCAACAGAGGCCCGGGGCCCTCGGGGCCCCTCCGCGCCGGCCGCCGCGCCGCGCCGCCGCGGTCACAGCTCGCCGCTCGAGGCGTCGAGCACGCCCTCCTGCAAGAGGGCCAGCGGCGGGGGGGGGGACTGGCACACATGGGGGGAGGCAGCGGCCTGGCATCGGCGACACGTCGCCGATAGATCGGCCCGTGCCTCTCCCCCCCTGTGCCTATCCTCCTCCTCCTCCTCCTCCTCCTCCTCCTCCTCCTCCTCCTCCTCCGCCTCCTCTCCCCCCCCTATCGTTGCACCCGATCCTGGGGGTTCGGCCCCGGCCCGTCGGCGCTCGCCTCGCGGGGGGGGGGGGGGGGCGAGGGAGGGGGGGGCGGGCGGGCAATGATCGGGTCGGGCGAAAGGGGGGATAGCAAAGGGGGGGGGTGAGAATCAGCTCACGTAGCTGATTTTCCCGGCGCCTCCCAGCGCCGGAGGCGGCCATGTATCGAGGAACGGGCCCCGCGGTAAGGCCGAAACCAGCTGCACGCAGCAAATTTCGTACCCCCCCCCTTTCCCAATGCCCCTCTTTCGCCCGGCCCGAAATGAGGGGGGGAGCGGTCCCAGAGATCTAACGCACGGCCGGACCTGGGACAGACGAGCATCCCTTGATAATTGCGCGTCGCTGAAGGGGGGCGATACATGAGGGAGAAAGGTGTGCTTTCCGGGCCCTGTAGATCCCCTTTTGGGCCCTGAAACGGGCTCCTTTCAGGGTTCGATGCCCCCCCATCTATCGCCTCCCAATTACGCGACGCCAGAAAACACGAGACCCTCCGCTGACCAAACGGAATAACATTAGAGGACATCCTTCCCCCAGGATGCACAAGAACATGCAGCACACACGAAGAACATGAAGGTACCCTCCCCGAACCGACCTCGATCTCATACCTCGGCCCGGCCGGATGGAAGAAATCCAAATGGAGGTTTTTCGCCGATCTCGGCCTCTGGAAGCCCTCGCCAGGCCGCGGAGCCGTCAAGACACGACTGGGCATGAAAAGCCAGTCCCTGGGAGTGGGTCCAGACTTCCAGAGACCTCGTATCGAAAAACTCGAAACGTCGGATCTGTGGGGTGTGGGGGGGGGAGGGTCCTGGATCCGGGAGGAGGGGAGCGATGAGGAGGGAGACGGTGGAGTGTGGACGACGAGGAGAGGGGCGAAGAGGAGGGAGGGGGTGAAGGGTGGACAATGGGGAGGGGCAGGAAGTTGGATGATGAGGGGGGGGATCAGAGATCGATTTTTTTGGAGGGTTCTGGGCCTTCTGGGTCGCTCTCGTGGCCACGGCCAGATCAGCAGTAGCAGGTGGGGGAGAGAGGAGGAGGAAGAGAAGGAGAAAGGGGAGGAGGACGGAAGAGGAAGAAGAAAGGGGGAGAACCCCCCTTCCCTCGTCCAGTTAGGGGTGCGTTCTGGCCAGGGCGTCGAAGGCGGATCCAGCCGTGGCCACGAGGGCGACCCAGAAGGCCCAGAAGCGCCTCGATCTCAGATCCCCCCCCCCTCCTCCTCCTCCTCCTCCTCCTCCTCCTCCTCCTCCTCCTCCTCCTCCTCCTCCTCCTCCTCCCCCTCCCTTTTCCTCCTTTCTCCTCATCCCTTCCCTCTCCTCCTCGGTCTCCTGGTCTTTCTCCTTCTCCTCCTTCCCGTGTTCTTGCTTCTCCTCGTTATCCTCGGCCTCCTCCTCTTTCTCCTTCCTTCTCCTCCTCTTTCTCCTCTCCCTTATCCTCCTCTTGTCAGGCTCTGGAGGTGGCTCCAGGGTCATCGCGATGGCGTATACGGTTGGAAGGAAACTGCACGATCCAAGCGCCCGCATCGGGAGTGACCAGAGGGTGGCACGAGTTCATTGTGCGTGTCGGATCAAGTTTCATGTGTGGTGCCAGGGCGCCGCAGCATGTGGTGTCAGACACATGTCAAACGCGCAGGCTTGCAGCGAAGCAGCCGACGTCACCGAAGCGACACCCGTCTCATTGAATCCCTGGACAAGGTCGGGGATCTGATTAACAGCCTGCGCCGTGTAGCGATGTTGCCAAACCACAATGGAGTAGAACGTGCAGGATGTTCAAAAGCATGTCGATAGGCAACAGGTAAAGCAGAAGCCAGCCCGCCGCCTGCGGACGGCGATGACATTGTGGAAACGGAGGACGCAAACGGAGACACAAAGGAACCTACCAGTCTGCTCCAAGACTTGGCTGCTCCAAGACTTGGCTTTTTTCGGGGCCAAGTGGTGGACAACAGTACGAATACGAGCGTACATGCGGATTACATGGCGGCTGTCGTGGAAACCGCCACCACTGATCAATAGCAGCTATGCGCAGGGTCAGCCTGTGGCTGCGCGAACGCACGTGGTCTGCATGTGGCAGGCTTTGCCCATCGTCGCATTATGGCGCGTATCGAGGCACATCGGACATCAAGGCAGTATCGTGATCTGGATGACGTGTAGAAGCAATTGGCTGACTGCAATGTGCATTCTACTGTGCATGGTCGCGCCATATGAATGTACGATCCACTTGGTTAGGAGTTCGGTCAAAAATGGACGCTGACGCCATGATCAACGTGACCTTCGCGAGGCTGGCCACCGCCACCCTGCCGCTGTTCGAAAAAGGCAAAGGGATAGACGCGCACCCCAGCCTCACAGTCACCGCACAAGTGTCCATAAGGCTGATTGGCATGAAAGGCAGGTGGCGGCGCTGGGTGAGCACTGCGCTCGGTGAACGGGCCAAGAGAGGGATCTGAAGAAGGACGAAAGAGGAAGAAGGATGAGGATGGGAGGACGAGGGGCATGATGACGTATATAGAGGCCTCCTGGATGGGGTCCGAGTAGATGGGCTCGGAGGATCGCGCCGCATCGGCGATACATCGCCGATACATCACCGATGAATCGTCGATGCATCGGCGGCATCGGCGAGGCAACGGCGCCGCCGGCGTGGAGTAAGTCGGGCTCCACGGCGATGCCTCGGCGATGCATCGGCGATGCGCCGGCGATGCGCCGCAGTCCTCCGACCCCATCTGCTCGGACCCGTCCGCCTTCCGCTCGACGAGGATAAGGGGGGAGGAGGAGGAGGCCGCCTTCCGCTCGACGAGGATAAAGGGGGAGGAGGAGGAGCAGGAGGAGGGAGGAGGGAGGAGGGAGGAGGGAGGAGGGAGGAGGGAGGAGGGAGGAGGAGGAGGAGGAGGAGGAGGAGGAGGAGGAGGAGGAGGAAGCCTAGGGTGTAGGACGAGGGTCACGGAAGGGGGAGAAGAAGGCGGAGGCGCGACGGCGAGCAGGGCGGGAGATGTGCGCCCCCCCGCCTCGCGCCGGGGCATGGACGGGGCACACCAAGAGGCAGGTGAGAGGGACTGCCGCGTGCAGCCTCTGAGAAGAGGAGGGATCAGGGTCAATCCGCCCCTCCCTGCCCTCAGACCTTCGAGGAGGGGATCGACTGCAGACTTGATTTACCCCCGAAATCAGCCTTCTCGTCAGATCTACAGAACAAGTACGTAGAGTTCTCAATCGATTTTATTGTCGATTTGCGCAAAGTCTACGCCGCATTCGTCGTAGATCTGATGGGGGGAATCTAGTTTGGGGTAAATCAATTCTGTTGTCGATCCTCTACTCGAGATCTGGGCGCCGTTGGAAACCACGAACAACATCATCGCCACGATTCGGGCACTCAGACCGTTAAGGATCGATCTGGCCGGGAACCCAAGGCGAATTCTGCCGTAACTGCGCGTGTTCTTCAACACATCGGGTCTCAAGATGCTGGCCTGGTCTCTGCTCTCGTGCCCTCGGGGCCGAGGTCCTGGACCTAAAACTGTGAGGGGAGCCTCTCTCTTTTTTCTCGGAGACCCGACCAACAAGCGAGCCCCCTCCCGAGCTCTCCTCCTCCTCCTCCTCACGCGCGGGAAAGGGAGGAGGAGGAGGAGGAGGAGGAGGAGGAGAAGGAGGAGGAGGAGGAGGAGGAGGAGGAGGAGGAGGAGGAGGAGGAGGAGGAGGAGGGGGTACGGGCCGCATGACGATGCCGCTCTCTCGCACTTTGTGTGATGGCCGCGCGGCCGACAAAACTCCGGCGGCGCCCCGGCCCTGGAGAGATCTGCGGTTCCAGCGGCCCGACTCCCTGGCTCGCCTCTACTTCCCCTGACGGACTGTCCTGCCTTACCCCTATCCCTCTCCTGCCTCCCATGCCTGTCTCCCTGCGGCAGGGAGGCAGGGGCCCCGCCTCCCTTCCTCCCTCCCTCGGTGCCTTTTACAGCATCCCGTTCGGTCTCTCTCTCTCTCTCTCTTCCAGCCTCCCTCCTGCCCTCCATCCTGTCGGGTCGGACAAACGAGGAGGTTAGCGAGTCAGCTCGCGTAGCTGGTTCTCCTGGCGCCTCCCGGCACTGGAGGCGCCCATGGATCGCGGAAAGCGTCCGGCGGCGGGGCCGAAACCGGCTGCACGCAATCGATGTTGTACTCCCCCTCTCTCTCTCCCAATCAGGGACACCCGAGTAAAACGACACACGACTCCCAGGACCACCAATATTTTCGACGTCATCTGGATGTTCGTCTTCACCTGGAAGAGGTGAAGGAGGAGGAGGGGGAGGAGGAGGAGGAGGAGGAAGAGGTGAGGAGGAGGAGGAGGAGGAGGAGGGAGGAGGAGGAGGAGGAGGAGGATGAGGGAGGAGGAGGAGGAGGAGGAGGAGGAGGAGGAGGAGGAGGAGGGAGGAGGAGGAGGAGGAGGAGGAGGAGGAGGAGGAGGAGGAGGAGGAGGTGGGGGAGGTGGAGGAGGAGGAGGAGGAGGAGGAGGAGGAGGAGGAGGAGGAGGAGGAGGAGGAGGAGGAGGAGGAGGAGAAGGGGAAGGAGCCCCGCCCCTCGGATCGTCTTCGTCTGGCCCGCTCCCGCCCTCCCTCCTCGCCTCTCTGCTTGCGGATGGCCGACGACTCACCCGCGCACACCGACCGAACCCCCCACGGACGGCTCCTCGCAGGGAGCGCGCGGGAGGGGTCGAGAGAGGGAAAGGCTGCTCCACTCGCAGGGCCGCTCGGTGAACGTCACTTGTGGGGACCGGGGGATGCCTCTTTCCTCCGTCGGCCTCGCTCCCTCGCTCCACCGAGTCCTCCTCCCCCAGACACTCCGACGATGTTTTTTTTTTTTTTTTTTTTGTCAGTGCGCGGCCGCGTCGCGAGAGAGGGGGGGGGGAAGTGCGAGGGCGACGGGCAGGAGGAGGAAAGCGACGGACAGACAGCCGAGACGCCAACACCACCGCCTCCACCTCGGTCGACGGCCGCGCCCCCTCTCTCTCACGAGGGGCGGCGCAGCGCCGACGTGCAGAGCGGACATGGGCAGGTCGGGGCGCGCGGGGGGGCTACACAGAACGGGAGGGATGCCGTGATAATGCTGGCTCAGGATGCGCTCAAGAGTTCTCAAGAATGAAGGGCCCCCAGGACACACAAATAAATACACACAAATAAAAATATCCCCCATATTTTCCAATATTTTCTGGGTTTCTGTCTTCCCCCCCACTTCCATATTTTCCCATATTTTCCTGGGAGTGGACGATTAATTGTGTCTGTGTGTTTCTTTCCCTCCTGAAAGAAGTATCTAGCGGCCCCCGCTTCCGCAGCCTGTGTGGAACACGAGGGGGGTCTGAGACACCCTTGAAGTCCAGGACATCTTGGAACGTTGCGCTATCCTTGAAGTCCAGGACATCCTTGAAGTCCAGGACATCCTTGAAGTCCAGGACATCCTTGAAGTCCAGGACGTCCTTGAAGTCCAGGACATCCTTGAAGTCCAGGACATCCTTGAAGTCCAGGACTTCTTGCCCCTCTGATCACACTCCTGGAAAACAAAAACCTGCACAGTCGCAACCTGTCCTAGGTCCGCGTGGATTTCTTTGGATCGGTGCTGGGGCCGGCGTGTGGGGCAGTGCGTGAAGCGCGCAGAAGCGCACCCCATGGGGGGTCCAGCGCGGATCCAAGAACTCCGCGCGGACCCGAGACAGTTCTACAGTCAAGCCGCTACAGTGGAGGCCCGTCCACGAGAAACCTCCCACAAGAAGCCCAACGCTGAGACCCCCAGGACGTCCGCTGATTTTTGGTGTGGGAGCGTCGCGCTTTCCATCCAACGTGCGGGAACGCCGAAACCATGGAACGGAGCCCCTGCTTGGCCCCAGCAGCGCCCCGGGTGCACACAAGGGAGCGCTGGAGGAACAGCCAAGGGAGGACCTTCCGGAGCCGCGAGCCCCTTCGAAACCCGAGCTGCTCCTTCTGACAGCGTGCCTGCCGAAGAGGAGGAGGAGGAGGAGGAGGAGGAGGAGGAGGAGGAGGAGGAGGAGGAGGAGGAGGAGGAGGAGGCTCATTGGCACAACAACAGGAAAAAACAGGAGGCCAGGCCGCGCGGCGGCTCGCCGCAGCCGGCCCCAGGGGGTGGGGCCGCGGAGCGAGGCTGAGCGGCCCGCGCTCCCCGCCCCTGTTGGGCAGAGGCGCACTCGATGCCCCCCCCACCTCCGTGTGTGTCGGTTGTTGTTTGTTGTGTTTTGTTGTTGTTGTTGTTGTTGTTGTTGTTGTTGTTGTTGTTGTTGTTGTTGTTGTTGTTGTTGTTGCTCTCTCTCTCTCTCTTTCCCAATCCTCCCTTGGTTGGGCACTCGTTGTGAATCGAGCACTGTGGTCTCCGTCCTCTCGCCTCCCTCCTGCCTCCTCCCGCCATCCCCCCCTTCTCCCTCCTCTCCCTCCTCTCCTCCCGCCTGCCTTCTGCCTCGTGCCTCGTGCCTGCGGTCCGCGAAACACTGTCGCCGCTCTCGTGGCCCCACGGGAGGTCCAGCCGAGAGGGGTGTCCCACGGGGACCACCGGGAGACCCTTCGTGGGCTGCTGGGAGGTCCAGCGGAGAGGGATGTCCCACGGGGATTGGGCGTGGCTTTATGGGGGGCTCACAAATGGGGGGGTCAGAAAAGGTCCCCTTTCGTGCCCCTTTCGGGCCCCTCCAGAGCCCCAGGGGGCTCGTTTAGGTACCGTTTGGGTATCTTTTCGGACCACGCTCGCCACCCCCCCATTTATGACCCTCCCATTACGCGGCGCCCAAGGGGACCACCATGACACATCGCCGGCCCTGGGGGGCTGCGATCTGCGAAACTGTCGCCACTTTCGTGGGCTGCTGGGAGGCCCAGCGGAGGGGTGTCCCACGGGGGCCACCATGACACCTTGCTGTCCCTGGGTGGCTGCGACCTGCGAAGCTGTCGCCACTTTCGTGGGCTGCTGGGAGGTCCAGCAGAGATGCGTTTTACGCAGATCACCATGAGACCTCGCCGTCCCTTGGGGGCTGCGATTTACGAAACTTCCGCTACTTTCGTGGTCTCCTGAGAGGTCCAGCGGAGGGGTGTCCCACGGGGACCACCATGACACATCGCCGTTCCCTTGGGGGTTGCACTCTGCGAAGCTGTCGCTACTATCGTGGGCTCCTGGGAGGTCCAGCGGAGGGGTGTCCCACGGGGGCCACCATGACACCTCGCCGTTCCCTTGAGGGCTGCGATCTGCGAAACTGTCGCCTATTTCGTGGGCTGCCGGGAGGTCCGACGGAGGGGTGTCCGCGAAGCTGTCGCCACTTTCGTGGGCTCCTGGGAGGTCCAGCGGAGGGGTTTCCCACGAGGGCCACCATGAGACCTTTCGTGGGCTCCTGGGAGGCCCAGCGGAGGGGTGTCCCACGGGGACCACCATGCGACCTCGCCGTCTCTGGGGGGCTGCGATCCGCGAAACCGTCGCCATGTCGTGGAGACCTGGGAAGTTCAGCGGATGGGTGTCCCACGGGAATCACCATGAGACCTCGCTGGCCCTGGGGGGCTGCGATATGCGAAACTGGGCTCCTGGGGGTCCAGCGCAGGGGTGTCCCACGGGGGCCACCATGACACCTCGCCGCGCCGTTCATAGGAGGCTGCGATCTGCGAAACTGTCGCTTTCCGTGGGCTCTTGGGAGTCCAGCAGATGTGCGTCTCACGGGGGCCACCATGAGACCTCGCCGTCCCTGGGGGGCTGCGATCTGCGGAACTGTCGCCACTTTCCTGTGTTCCTGGGATGTCCAGCGCAGGGGTGTCCCAGGGGGACCACCATGAAACCTCGCCATTCCCCGGGGGGCTGCGATCTGCGAAACTGTCGCCACTTTCGTCGTGAGCTGCTGGGAAGTTCAGCGGAGGGGTGTCCCACGGGGACCACCATGAGACTTCGCTGGCCCTGGGGGGCTGCGATGTGCGGAACTGTTGCTTTTCGTGGGCTCCTGGGGGTCCATCAGAAGTGTGTCTCACGGGGACCACCATGAGACCTTGCTGTCCCTGGGTGGCTGCGACCTGCGAAACCGTTGCCACTTTCGTGGGCTGCTGGGAGGTCCACCGGCTGTGGGTCTTACGCAGATCACCGCGAGACCTCGCCGTTCCCTTGGGGGCTGCGATTTGCGAAACTGTCGCCACTTTCGTGGGCCCTTGGGAGGCCCAGCGGAGATGCGTTTTACGTAGATCATCATGAGACCTCGCATTTCTCTGGGGGGCTGCGATCTGCGAAACAGTCGTCACCTTCGTGGGCTCCTGGGAGGCCCAGCGGATGTGTTTTTTTACGCGTATCACCGTGCGACCTCGCCCTCCTCTGGGGGGCTGGGTCGCGATGTTGGGGGGTCCAGCGGCGCTGCTCCCACGAATTCTGTCTCCAAGCGTCTCTCCCTAGTGTTTCCACACTCCCTCGTGGCCGCCTGCCTGCTAACGATCTGGCTCTTACGAGCGGCGCCGCAGATATGAACATGTGACTCTGGCCCGACGTTCTTTGGCGAATCGTTCAAGGGCACGACGGATCCTTCGGTGCTCGCTTTTGTGTTGAGCGGTCCGATGAATAGTCGCCTCATGTGTACAAAAGGTTGGGTCAGTTCATGTTTTTTCTTCTTTCTCTCTCTCTCTCTCCTGTCTCTGTCTCTGTCTCTGTCTCTCTCTCTTATTTTTTTTTGTTTCTCTCTCTCTCTCTCTCCCTCTTTCTCTCTCTCTCTCTCTCTCTCTCTCTCTCTCTCTCTCTCTCTCCCCCCCCCCTTTTCTCTGCACTTGCCTGCTCCCCCTTCCCTTCCCCTGCTCGTGCCGCCTTCTCCCCTCTCCCCTCCCCTCCCCTCTGCCCTCGACCTCTTCCCCTCTGTGTGCACGCGCTGGGCGTGCCCCCTCAAGCCGTTGCGGCCGTGTCGCGGCCGTTGCCCCAGGCCCGCGGCCCCGGCAACGCCGCCAGCGCGGCGGCCGGCGGCGCCGCGGCGGGGCCCGCGGGCGCCTGCAAGGCCGCCGTCGGCTTGGCCACCTCTCGATGATCCTCGGAGCGCTTGCTAGCACCAACGTTGGGCGCCCGAGTTATCCGGGGTAACTCGAGCCCGGGGTAACGCGAGTTTGGATTCCCGAAAAACGAACCCGAGTTTGCCCTGACCCGAGTTACCCCTGATGATTTGGGGCCCTGGACGCCCGAGTTATCCGGGGTAACTCGGGCCCGGCATAACTCGGGTTCGGATTCCCGAAAAACGAACCCGAGTTAGCCCTGACCCGAGTTACCCCTGATGATTCGGGGCTCTGACAAGGTGTGACGCGGAGCGACGCAGGCATCGAGAGGAGGGCCGACACCCGAGCAGGGACCGACCGCCCCGGCATTCCTACTGGACTCCCGCGTCATGCTCTGAGAACAAAAAGTTCGACGAACAGGAACAAGGTTCTCAAGACGTGCAGACGACGTCTGAAAACAAGACTGATTCAGCCGGGGACGCTCTCAGAACATTTTGTGCAAGGCACACACACGAAGGTTCTTAGAACATATTCTTTGGCGAGCCTGCACGCACGTCAGAACGCTTGAGACACACGCAGCGCACCGGCGGAACCTGACGGGGCAAGTACGCACAGGGCCGACGCCCGTCCCGAGAATCATCGAGCCTCTGCCAGCGCCAGCTCCACGCGGCTCAGGCGGCTGGCCGCGGCGTCGAGCCCCGCCTCGCGCGTCGCGCGCTCCTGGCGGAGCTGCGCGAGGGCCTCGTCGAGCAGCCTGCTCTGGGCCGCCGCCTGCCCCGTGAGCCCGCGGTGGCCGCCGCGCACGGCGTCCAGGTCCTGGATCAGCCTCGGCGGCTCAAAGGGGGGGCCCTCGTGGAGGAGGCCGTGAGGATGGGGAAAGGGGTCCCGGGTTGAAGCTGCACCGTGTTGACTACCTACCAGACCACCCCAACCCAACCCGAAGACACGAACTTGACCCGAACTTCGGGTTGGGGGGGGTACGGGTTCCACGTGCTTTTTCAACGTTCCCCGACCCCCCCCCACTAGAGATGGAGGGCAACTTGAGGCCTTCGGGTTGGGTTGGGGTGGTTTGGCAGGTGGTGACGTGTGGGGCCCCTCGCCCCTCGGGGCCCCGTCGCCCTCGGCGCTAGGGCGACGAAATCTATACATATCCAGTGCTCCCTGGCCAGGCCCATCCTCAACCCCGCAGCGGTGTATACGCCACGCCCTCCTGGCTTGGCCAGGAGGGCGCATACACAGCTCCTGGGTTCAAGATGGGCATGGTCAGGGAGCAGTGTATATGTATAGATTTCGTCGCCCGAGGCGCCCCACCGTGGCACTTGCTGCCAGCCTCTCCAGGCAGCTGCTCAGGCACCGGGTGGCGGCCGCGTCGGCCGACCGAGCGTCGGCCGGCGGGGGCCCGCCGCAGTGGCCCTGCTGCGCGACGCCGAGCAGCTGCTCCACCCGGTCCACGCGCTCCTGGAGAGGAACAGGAGGACGTGGAGGAGGAGGAGGAGGAGGAGGAGGAGGAGGAGGAGGAGGAGGAGGAGGAGGAGGAGGAGGAGCACAACACGGAACGGACCGAAGCTTTCGGAGGTCCGCGCGGATTTCTTGGATCGGCGCCGGCCTCCCTTCCCATGGCGCGCTCTGCGCGCCAGGGGCGGCGCTGGAGGCGCCGGCAGTGAAGGCCCAGCGCCGATCCGAGAAACTCGCGCGGACCTCCAACATTTCTGCTTTTCTGCCTGCTTCGAACTCCTGCAATACGAGCCGGATCGAATCGGCTGCGCTTGGACGCGCAACTGCACCGTGCTTACCAGCCTGGAACATACGTATCCCTATCCCTATGCTGGGCATCTCCTCATCATGATGCCAATCTGAGGGATTCCCTCAGTTCTTCAGGGCGACCTCCCCGAGATCGTCATCGCCTTTTGGCGTGTCAATCTTAGGGATAGGGAGAAGTTCGAGGCTGGTGACGTGCAAGTTCGGGCCGCACCGGCCCGCCCGCGGGCCCGCGGCGGGCGCCCCCGCCGCCCGCCGCGGGCCCGCCGCGCGGCCCGGCGGCCCCGCGGGCGCGGCGGCGGGGGGCGCCGCGCCGGAGCGCCGCGGTGACGACGGCGACGACGACGACGACGACGACGACGACGACGACGACGACGACGACGACGACGACGACGACGACGACGACGACGACGACGATGGGACCGAGCCGGCGGATCGGACCGATCGCAGCGGCACGGGGCCCCTCGCCTGCAGCGACGTGCGGCACACGTCCAGGGCGGCGGCCTCGCTGGCGAGCGAGCGCAGGTCCGCGAGCGAGCCCACCAACACCTCGGACGCAGCCGTGCTCGTCAGTTCCTCTTTGGATGTATCGGGTCGGGCGAAAGGGGGGGATAGTAAAGGGGGGGTTGAGAATCAGCTCACGTAGCTGATTCTCCTGGCGCCTCCCGGCGCCCAAAGGCGCCCATGTATCGAGGAATGGGCCCCTCCGCAGGGCCAAAACCAGCTGCATGTAGCAGATTTCGTAACCCCCCCTTTCCCAATCCCCCCCTTTCGTCCGGCCCGATCCTCTTTGGATGCACCAAACTGGGGCGAAAAAGCAGGCACGATGCCCCACGCCAAAGTGTTGTCCAACACCGACAGCGGCCGCTGTCAGGCAGGCGACTGTCTGTCTCAAATGGGCAAAGTCCGTGGCGACACTGACAGCGAGCCCTGTTCAAAATGAGCAAGAATTTTCCGTGTGGAGGCGGCCAGGGGGTCTGAGCTTGATAGGCCCCAGGAAAATCTAAAGACGGATGGATCACGGTAGATCCGCTCAAAATCAGTCCCCGGACTCCTCCCGGGGTCTATCAGGTGCAGCTTTTCACCCCAGAACTGCCGTCGGTCTTCACGCAGGAGTTTTTTGAGGAAGAGGAGGAGGAGGAGGAGGAGGAGGAGGAGGAGGAGGAGGAGGAGGAGGGAAATCAGGGATGGGAGGGGCAGGGTTAGGAGGAGGAGGAGGAGGAGGAGGAGGAGGAGGAGGAGGACGAAGAAGAAGAGGACGAGGACAGCGAGCGAGGACACGGAGGAGGAGGATGAGGAGGAGGAGGAAGAGAAGGAGGAGGACTCATTCTTCCCGTGCCCATTGCGAACGGACCCATCCTCGGCGGCCCGGCACAGGCCAGACTCAGCCCGCGCGCGCTCCAGCTTCACCAGCCGGACCTCCAGGTGGGCGCCTTCTAGCCGCTCCAGCCGCGCCCCCAGCGCCGCGCCCTCGTGCGCCGCGGCGCTCTGCACCGATTGCGCAGCCTCCCGGTGTGCGCCGGCACGGTGCGACGAGGTCAGTGCTTCTCTCCCCAGGCCCATCCTGGGCCCAGGAGCGGTGTGCACGCACGCCCCCTCTGGCAATGTACACCGATCCTGGGCCAAGGGTGGGCCTGGACAGGGGCGGCGGACACACAAACACACACACATATGTATGTGTGTGTATGTTTGCATGAATGTATGTGCACGTGTGTCTATATGATATTTGTGTATGTGTGTATGTATGTATGTATGTATGTATGTATGTATGTATGTATGTATGTATGTATGTGTGCATGTATGTATGTATGTATGTATGTATGTATGTATGTATGTATGTATGTATATATGTATGTATGTGTGTGTATGTAGGCATGCATGTATGTATGTGTGTATGTATGCATGTATGTGTGTTTGTATGTATATATGCAAAAAATATCAGAGGGGTACGTCTGTACATCCATATGCATACACCTATGCTAGCCAGCGTGGGCCCCAAGCAACGTGTCTCTCGTCACATGTGCAGTGCAATCAATGTTTGCAATTGTTTTTAACAAACGAGCTCTCAAATCATATGCTTTTGCAATCATCCCACCCACCCACCCGCAACTTGGTTGGATGCGATTGCGATTGCGATGCGTGCTTAGCGTTGGCTGGTGCATCTCTGTGGCCGCGCCAACCCAAACACGCATGCGCAACGGCCAGCTAGTCTGGCGCGACCGACGCGGCTGCGGTGGCGCTGACCCGTGGGCACATCACAGCGGGCATGCCAGTGCGAGTCGGCGATTTGGGCGGGCGCGGCATCATGGCAACGTCGGCAACGGTAGACACGATGATGATAGCAGCGATGCTTGAGACAATTTTGACAACGACGGAGGCGTGGCCAGTGCGGGCGCCGATGCTGATCACGCCGACGACGATGACGGCGTCCTCGCGTCGGTAATGCAGGTTTTGGAAAAAGTTCGACATGCGCGCGCGGCCGGCGCGCGAGAGAGGCCGGCATGGTCTTGCCTGGCGCCGATCGTGCCACCCTAGCACGCGCGCAAGGGCGTGCGAATGATGTCGACATGCGGCTCGCGAGGCTCGTCTGGCAGAGTCCCATGGGAAAAGGTTGAAGCGCCGATGGTTTTTTCAAGAATTCGCAAGAGCGCGAGCGCACGCTTTTTTGACAACTGGTGTTGCGAAACAGTGTGTTTTTGTTTTTTTTGGACACTCGGTTTCGGAATCTCTGCGACACCCAAGGTTTTTGATGTTTTCGGCATGCGCGCGCGACAACGCGCGCGCGCGCACCTCGTCCCATGTTTTGCAGAATGTTCTCGCGACGGCACGCGCGCAAACGCGGTCGAACGATTTCGGCATGCGTGCGCGCGAGACCTGTTTGGTAGCATTTTCTGAACATTCTGGGAAACCGATGGCTTTTCATCAGAATTCGCAAGAGCTCGTGCACACATGTATTTTTGCTTTAAGGCAAAAAACATCTGAGTTGCGAAACCCTATGTTATATGTTTGGGGGGCTCTCGATTTTGCAACCTTGCCGAAACCGGTAGTTGTTGAAAGATTCCGGCACGCGCGCGCGATGACGCGCGCGCGTGCACTTTGTTTCAGCTGTCGCAAAAAGGGAATATTGAGAACTGCTGTTTTTTGATCAGCGAGTGCGCGCGCGTACTCTTTTGTGCACAAGATGGTGGGGGGGCTGGTACGGGTTGGTCTGGGATGTCAAGAAGTCATGTTTAGGATGGGCGATGGGGCAGGACCATATGTACAGCGCAATACGAAAAAAGGGAACGGATCATCCTGGGGGGGCGAGCGAGGATAATATATGTGGTGTAATCTGCGTGGGACAGTCTATGTCGTGCTGTGTATTGTGTGCTATCTGCGTTTTGGAATTCACCATTGTGCTGACTGCTGTGTCCAGTGTCGGTTGCGCAATCTATGTTGTGCAATCTGTGGTGTGCAGTACGTGTGGTGAAATCTATGTTGTGAGATCTTCGCTGTGCAACTTATGTTGTGCAATCTATGTGGTGCGATATATGTGATTTTGCAATCTATGTGGTGCAACCTAGGTTGCACAACCTGTGTGGTGCAGTCTGTGCTGTGAGCGATCAAAAGGGCGCGCCCCATGCGCATTTGTAGATGCAATCTACGTGTGCAATTCACCTTGTCGAACTTGAAGTTGTCGATTCCGTTGCTCGTGCAATCATCCCGCACACCCACCCGCAACCTGGTTTGCAAAACCCATGCGGAAGCGATTGCGATGTGTGCTTGGTGTTGGCTGGTACATCTCTGCGGCCGCACTGATCCGCGCATGCTCGCGCGCGCAGCGGCCAGCTAGTTTGGCGCGACCGACGCAAACGCGGTGGCGCTGACCGTTCGGCACATCCCAGCGGGCACTTCAGTGCGAGTCGGCAACTTGGGCGGGCGCGGTATCATGGCAACGTCGACGACGGTAGACAGGATGACGATAGTAGCGATGCTGGTGACGATGCTGACAACGACGACAGGGCAGCCAGTGACGGCGTCGATGCTGATCACGCCGGCGACGATGACGGCGCTTTCGCGTCGGTGATGAAACTTTTGGAAAGAGTTTGACATGCGCGCGCGGCAGACGCGCGAGTGGTCGGCATGGTATTATTTGTCGAGGATCGTGCCACCCCAGCACGCGCGCAAGGGCGGTCGAACGAATTCGACATGCGCGCGCGAAGCCTGTTTGGTAGCATTTTCTGAACATGTTGAATAACCGATTGCTCCCTTCAGAATTCGCAAGAAGGCGCGTAACTTGTTTTGAAAATCCGTGTTGCGAAACCCTGTGATGTTATATGATGCTTGGACTCTCGGTTTTGAAACCCTTCCGACATCTATATTTTTTGAAAGATTTCGGCATGCGCGCGCGCGACAACGCGTGCACTTCGTTATATGTTTGCAAGGGGTTCTTGAAAACCGATGATTTGTGCTACGCGAGTGTACGCGCATAGTGTTTTTTTGCAGAGGGTGGCAAGGGGGGGGGCCGATACCGGTTGGGCTGGGATGGTATGGATTCATATTTGGGATGGGCGATGGGGCAGAATCGAATGTAAAATTGGTTGTGCCTCTCACGCAGATCGCGACGTCACGGTCCAAACACATACATACACACATAGACATACCCTTTTCACATCATTTTAACGTAAAGCCTTCAAACAAATAACGGAATTTTCTGACTGTCAGCCCGATTCTTCGAACCATGCAACTTCGCCTGAGATATCCTCCAAACACCGCATCCCTTTTCAACGCGGTTCTTTGAGACAAGCAATTTCGCTTGAGACACCCTCCCCAAACCGACGCACAACACACACACACACACTACAGAGAACGCACCTCAGAATTCACACACACACACACACATCACACACATAACACAGATAATGCACACACACAGAATTCACACCCACACACACCACGCAAACAAGGCGTAATCCACACAACACGCACAACACTTGCAGCACGCAACACACACAGAGAGCATACACCACACACGCAACACACATGCATCACGCACAACACACACAAAACGAGTAACGCCCACACAACGCAAGTAACACGCCTAACACCCAGAACATACACACTCCACACATAACTCACACATAACACACGCACAACACAGACACACAGGACACGAAGCTTATATACGCCACACGCACGCACATCCTGCACATGTTTTTGCATGAGCCTGGGCACGCACGGGCCAGTTCGATGTACGCATCTGTATATGTATGTATGTATACACATATACAGCAACGTCCACTCTCCAGCAGCCAGGCGATGCATCTTGTCTGGGGAGAAGCACAGCGAGGCCTCGGGATGCCAACCGCTGTCGCGAGACTTGCGCCGGCAGAGCCGCGCACCATCCGAGATCTGCAGAGCACCGCCTGTAGACAGCTATGGAACAAACAAAAACGAGGGAGGGGGGGAGAGGAGCCTTGAGCGAGATGGCAGCGGGTGCCTACAGGAGCGACCCCTTCGCCGTGGGATGCCGCAACAACTTGTAACACATGAGCCAGCAACTTCCACTCTCCAGCAGCCAGACGATGTACTTTCCACGTGGGGGGGGGGGGCGCAGCGAGTCTTCGCGGCGCTGGCCACTGTCTCGAGACGTGCGCCGGCGGAGCCGCGCACCGTCAGAGACTTGCAGAGCACCGCCCGCTTCCCGCAGAGCAGACTCGGCCACGGACCGGGGCCGCCACGACCCAGCGTGGAAGCAGATGCCATATGCACGCCTTCACAAACAACATCCCGAGGAGGATTGTGATAGCCATTCGCTGGGTTCCGAGGGCGGCCTGCATCACCACATAATCCTTCAGAGCATGTGCGCAGAGGGCCATGGCCGTCGCCGCCGCGCGAGCAAACGAGGGGGTGTAAGCCGAGGCCAACCCTGTGCGCCAGGCAGGGGCGCCTCTGTCCCGACCTTGGAAGATGAGGCGAAGAGGATGGGCCGAGAAGCGGAAGCCACCGCGCCCCGAGCAAGACGTGCAGAACTCTGGGAATACTCTAGCATCTGATGGTCGGGGGCGTCCAAGAAGGGGGCGTCCGAGAGGGGTGTGCAAATCATGGCTGGCGGCATGAGCGCGGCCCAGGGGGGGGGGGGGCTGGGGACGTATTGAAATACGAAGAGGCGCAGTGAAATTCGGGGAGAAATCATGGCCGCCGCCATGATATCCCCCCCTAGTCATCCCCCCCTCTTGGCGGCCCCCGATATGGAGGGCCGTTGTAGTGGGCACGTGTCCATCTTGTGGACTCGACACGACGGACGAGCGAGCAGCTTGCGCAAGGCGGGGGCGCGCCACGTCAAGACCCCCGGGGATTCTCCAGAAAGACGGGGGCAACCGATCTGAATGCAGAGACCGATAACACGACAGGAGAAAAGAGAGGAACGGCTGCCGAGGATCAGGCGCTGCGAACGAGGGCCCTTCACGCCAGGCCTGCCGATGGGAACACGACGAGAGCAAAGCGGGCCCCTCAGCGCCTGTGAC